CTAGTAGCTTCTTGTTCCTGGTAGTAAGGCCAGGAGCCCCTAGTAGCGTCCTTGCTCCTAGTGAATGTGTGTCATAATGCCTTTCCGCTCTATCCATGGAGTGGATTGTACTTTGGCTGAAGTTTCCAGGCTTCCTGGGAAGACCAGCTTGCTTGGAGTGAGTTTCTCACAAACTGTTGGCGATGTTTGCCGATTCTTATATTAACATGTTGCCCGCTCCATGTGTATATGTATATACCTGGACCCCCTGACCACCTACTTATTTCTAGGCGATCCAGATTTCTAGGCGAAGCCTAGAAACACGCACATGGAGAAACTTTATGAAATTATATATCAACCCTTTGGAAAAATGTGGGCGCTCAGGATTTCTAGGCGCACCTAGAAAGAAGTAAGCTCACAAGGCTCTAGGTATAAATATACAGTACACTGTATTATATATTTGGATGTTGAACCGTTGAACCTTTACATTTACAGGGCTTCCTGATGTCCAAGTGTCCACGAGGGTTTATTCTGGCTTTTGTTGGGCAGACCATTTGAGTTGTTGCCACCAACCACAGGATATGCGTGGTGCTGTGGTGATGGGAGCGTTGTCACAGGCAAGTCCCACGTGAGTCACGCCTGGGGGTCCCCGTTCAAGGTGTTTGCTGGAAAGAGAGAGCAGGGCAAATGAGGGATTTGTAGGTGGTGTCAGAATGTGTCATATTTTTCAGGTAACTTCATTGTTTGTGTGTATAAATGAGGAGACGTGACACAATCATGACCAATTGCATGGCATACTGTACGACCTTTGCATAATGACTACGGCCCTAGCTCAGCCGAGCAGGTCAACGTGGACCACCTGCGCCGACCACGAAGTAGTGGCAGTGGTGGTGGAGACGGTGCAGCTAGCGCTGGTGAGGCTGCCGCAAACACCGCAGAAGCAGGTGCAGGCGCGCTTCCGTCAGAGTGGTTCCTTGGGAGAGACATTTCTTGGTCGATGATGGCACGGACAAAATTTCTGCCTGGCCACCACCTCATGGGATTTGTGGCACTCTGGGAGTTCAACACGCTCTCTGGGCTTTTCAGAGTTCCCTGTGAGTTTTGAGGTTTCGACGAGATCGACGCTTCAGTACTGGAAGCCTTGCCACCAGAGATCCGAGCGGAGGCCGGTGTGCCGGACCGTGATCGTGTTTTTAAAGATCCAACAGAAGACCACAGGTTTAAAGATGTTTAAAGGTCATTTCATCCTAAGATGCTCCAGATAAGTTGCAGGGTTTCGCCACACTTGTTGGCATCCTAAACGATAAACTTCCACAAGAAGGCATGTGTGGACGGTGCTTTCTCATTGCTGAGAATATAGCATCATCATGAATGTCGCACTCGCTACCCCATTTTTATGGCCGCTTTGCTATTCAGGATTGCGATGCAATTCATGTTTGAAATTCGAGAGTTTCTTGACAGGCAAGAAGAAGGCCATTTAGTATCATTTAGTTGTGATCGTATATTTGTTCATGATGATATAGGTGTTTTAGAAGACTCCAGTTCCTCTATTGTACTCCTTGATAATCCTTGTCGAATTTCCTCACGAGGTCATGGCGGAAGAGCAGCGGCGGCGAGAGCAGGAGCTGAAGTGTAAAGCTATTTTTCAGAAAGCGTCTTTGCTCCTAGTAGTACGGCCAGGAGCCCCTAGTAGCTTCTTGCTCCTAGTAGCGATGCCAGGAGCCCCTAGTAGCGTCCTTGCTCCTAGTTCGTCCAAAATCGAGTACTGAGAACTGAGAACAATATGTTTCCAATACATTTCAATACCAAATGTAACACAGAAGGCATTGTTCGAACATTGGAAGAAACCAAGGACATCCTGCAAGTAAGATAATTATAGATAATTTGGATATATTTAAAAACTATATATATTATATAATTCTCTTCACCATCAACTCAGGAGCGTGCACAGAGGGCAGCAGCGCAATCAGCAGCGCAGGCTGTGCAAACTGACTGCAAACGTCTCCTGAACACACGAGGCCCTGCCCAAACAGAGGAGGCCATGTCCCTTTATATATATATATATATTATTATGTGTTTTCGTTGGATGTCATAGTGCATGTATCATTATGTATGCAGGAAGCACTGGTTTGCCTATTGAACCCCCATAGGTTTAAGCACCAGCCGTTCAAGCCCTACAGGCTCCGCCCGCCGCCGGAGCGATGAACGCCACCAGTGGGAGACCCAGCGGTACTTTGGTGGTTGGGAGTGCGAGGCACGTGCTGCTTCGTGGACGGGTTGTCCGACAAGGACAAAAGTGGGGATGGGTCGTATGAGAGAATTGGTGTCTTTCGGACTTGTTCTGTTTGAGTCTTTTTGATAGTGTGGAGCAGGTACCACGTCCTTCCAGGACTTTGTGTAGCTCTTGATGATCGCTTCCTTTGAGACCATGTATAGCACGTTAGTGGATGTCAGTGGCTTGATACAGGATAACTATCACTATCATCGGGCATCGGGCCCTTTGAATGCTGGGCCATTTAATCGACGTGATATCAGACAATGCTTGCTACCAACAATGAGCTTAGCCCCGGATCGACAACCTTGACAATCTTTTGTGACATGTATAGACCCTTTCCTTTTATGACCCGGAGACAGGGGATGAGATTTTGGTACAAAGATCACAAAGAGTTCAGGCTTCCAAGGACTTCAATCAAGTTGACATAGGTGTTTCTGTGCACATCTGCACACCGACACATACCACTTGTGAGCAGGTATCACTTTGAAAAGATTAAATTATTGGTGTTTGTTCAATCATTGGTTTTGTTTCCAACGAGCATTTCGGATTCCTATTCAACATCAAGACAAAGTCTGTCGCACCGTCCATTTCCCCCCAAAACTTCTCTTGTGTGGCATACCCACTTAGCCTTTGCCACTGATATGGCTTCAGCATTGCCGTTTGAGGTGGAGATATGGACAATGCCACCTTCATTGCTTCGTGTTTTGCTTAGCATAACCCCCTGGAAGATGCCAAAGTGTATCTTTGCAACTTCGCAACCTCAATGGGAAACTAACGCAGGAATACGTAAGAGTAAAGCACAAAATTCATTGTTTGGCTTGGCCTGGACACTTGAGTAGATGACGTTTGTTGCTGTTTGTGCAACTCTGATGAATCTTACAGCTCTACAAGCAACATGTGGTTCCCCCACAAGACGTCTAGCGTCACATCCTTCAATCTTTCAAAGTCCCAAAGGGATCCAAAGGGGAAGTCCATTCACTCGAGCGTGAGTCTGAGTTGTGGCTGTTTGCATCACCAGCCGGGTGTGACGATGTGCTGTGAAGGTGAATGGAAGGTCTTCAGCGATTTGATTTAGTCGCCCTAAACATCTAGGAACCAAATCATTAAGGATAGCCTCACGCTTCTTCAAGGAAGCTCCTTCTGCCGGGAGCTTCCTTGAAGAAGCGTGAGCTATCCTGTGTCCATATGTAGTAGCGTAAGTAGCTAGTAGCTTCCCGTACCTTACTTGATAGTACTAGTAAGGCACTTGTTCCTAGTAGCGTGGCACTTGTTTCTACTA